CCTGCCTGATCGCCCCTAACCACCTCTGCCTGTGGGCCTAATGCCCCTAAATGCTCCCCTGCTGGTCTGATCACCCTTAACTGCCCTCCCCTGCCAGCCTGATCACCCCTAACTACCCTGCACCTGCCAGCCTGATCGCCCCTAAATGCTCCGCCCTGCTGGCCTGATCGCCCTTAACTGCTCTCCCCTGCCAGCCTGATCACCCCTAACTACCCCACACCTGCCAGCCTGATCGCCCCTAAATGTTCCGCCCTGCTGGCCTGATCGCCCTTAACTGCTCTCCCCTGCTGACCTGATCATCCCCTAACTATTCCCCCCTGTTGACTGATCGCCCCTAACCACCTCTGCCTTAGCTCCTGCCACCCAGTGCACAAAATTCGTGCACAGAGAGAAAGAGTTCCTCAGCCCAGCCTGCACCCTCTCCAATCCAGGACCCTTTGGGGGATGTCCGACTGCAGGTTTAGGCCCGATCCCTCTCACAATCCAGGACTGCAGGCTCCTAACTACTTGCCTGCCTGCCTGCCTGATCACCCCTAACCACCTCTGCCTGCTGGCCTGATGCCCCTAACTGCTCCCCTGCTGGTCTGATCACCCTAACTGCCCTCCCCTGCCAGCCTGATTGCCCCTAACTGCTCTCCCCTGCTGGCCTGATCAGTCCCTAACAGTCCCCCCACCAGCCTGATCACCCCCTAACTACTCCCCCCAGCTGGCCTGATCACCCCTAACCACCTGCCACCATGGCTTTGTCTGGAAGATATCCGGCCTAATTAGCATATTACCCTTTTATTAGAATAGATGGCATTATATTGCCTTGTTCCCTTCTCTGGTCACTGTTGTCCTAGGTAGGTTTGAATCTGCTTTTCTGGTTCTTCATCGATAACAGCTCTAAAAGGGAATTCAATAGGTTCAACCTATTTTCACTTCGCCCTTCTAAGCCCAAAGAGTTATGTTAATGTTTCTTTCTTTGTATATTAAAGATGACCTACTTTTGAAAAAAAAAACAAAACAAAAAAACTAGAATCCCAAGCTCATTAGAGTAAAAAGGAGGCCTCTATAATTTTTTTTAACTTCGGTCTCAGCCAATAATAGAATACACAGGGAGTTCGCCTAAAATCACTGAATAGCGCTCCCCACTTACAACAGTATTTATCAAGTTGAGCTAAAAAGATCCATTAAAAAAAAGACAATGATGATAGTGCACATGTAATTTTTACTAAGTTACTAAGCCAGTCGGAGTCATAAAAAATAATTGTCCGAGATATTCATGGGGTGCGTTGGTTGACTTTGGGGCAATGGTGGTTCCCGCCTACTCAGCGCACTGTTCTCTGGGCCCACGGAAGGTCGTGGAAGGTCATGGAATGCCCTGAGCATCCTTCCAACAGCCTCATGACCAAATACCTTTGCCTGATCTTCTTCCTGTGTGTCTACACTACAGGGTGATTGACGGCCGAGATCTCATGCCATTGCTTCAAGGCGAGATCCAGCGTTCAGAGCATGAGTTCCTGTTTCACTACTGCAGTAGGTTCCTCCATGCTGCCCGTTGGCGCCCCAAGGACAGTAAGTGC